AAAAAGGTCAAACACAAAATCACTCTCTGAAGTGATAGTAAAAAGTGAGTAATACACTTTTTTTTGGTTAATAAACACTTTCCCGCAGACAGCTACGTTTTCCTTAGTACTAAAGGCTGGTTTTCATGAGGTCAGAATCACAGACGCCAAAAACACTGCCTTCATCTGACAGCTGTCCATTTGATGTCAGATGATTGACATTCCGTTTTCATTACTGACGCCAAATGTGAGGTTAATTTTTACAAAAGTGTAGAATACCGACCTTTTAGCTGTAGAAAAACCAGGGGTGTAATTTGGTGGAGCTCTTCATGCTGATTTTAACCTTACCAAAGTTGTTTGGCGCGGGTGGGAAATTGAAGGGATATACGAGGTTAAGTTAAATTTACTACTACGATACTTTGAAATATCAATATTTTATGAACTACATAGCCGACTAGACAACTAATGATGTCAAAACAAAGATGATTAGATTATCGGTTAGTTGATGTACATAATTTTCCAGATTTTTTTTTTTTTTTCAAGTCAGAAATACAAAGAAAGAAAACAAAAATTAAATCTTTTTTAATAAATTACCTTTGGAAAAAAAATGCATAATTAATGCTACAGAAATTTATATTATTTAGAAAGTACAAGTTATTACCTTATATAGAAAGGTTTATTATAGTGCAAAATTTAACGAAAGTCACTACCACTGTAAAAATCGAAATTGTATGGATATATTTTTTTTAATAGCGTTTACCAAAAATTTGTTTCCAAAATGGTTATAGTAAATACGTTGGAAAAAAAAGCTATTAGAATTATATTTGAATTGGCATCAATACTTTTCTAATCGGTCAAGTAGCTTCCGAGATATTAAATATTGAAAATTAGGAAAGTTGAAGTTTAACCGGTTATATTTTCTTGGGTTTTTGCTTGCCCAGATAATTTGGGCACGGCAACCCCGGATTTTTTTTTTTTTGATATTCCTCCTTGCACTGCGGCAAATTCCATTTGGAAGAGTAACGGAACTAGTCCAAATGACGCAGTGCCCGTTATTCTTCCAAATGGAATATTCCCGCAGTGCAGGGGTATAAAAACCCGCTGGCAAACTCACAGTCGGCCTTTTCAATATAGCATTAGCGGGTAGCAATCGGAACGGCTGAGAAGGAAACTAAAAGAAAAGTGAAATTAACTGTGTTAAAACTATTATAATTAAAATTAGTGTAATGTACATATTTTTTTAGCTACAAAGCTATAAAACACTAAATCATTTTGTTG